AAAACATAGAGTTTTCCCCTCAAATGGCTGTGGCCCCGCCCCCAGCGTGCCCGGCGTCATCACGTCACCTCCGGCTGACGTGCACGCCGGGGTGGAGTTCCCCCCGGGGCCCAATTCCGCGGTGGCGGAAATCAGGCCTCCAAAGTGGGGGGTAAAACATAGAGTTTTCCCCTCAAATGGCTGTGGCCCCGCCCCCAGCGTGCCCGGCGTCATCACGTCACCTCCGGCTGACGTGCACGCCGGGGTGGAGTTCCCCCCGGGGCCCAATTCCGCGGTGGCGGAAATCAGGCCTCCAAAGTGGGGGGAAATCCGCCCCCCAGGGGGACTTGGCAACCCTAGCGGAGGGTTGGTTGGTTACTGCCAGTTCCCATTGCCAATTGCTTCCATTGGGTTTGTTCATTGAGGAAGTAATATTATGCCACTTGTCGTCTTAGGTTAGGAAGGTTGGAGCACTTTCCCTGTGAGGAAATGCTGAGGAGTTGGGTACTTTTCAGATTAGAAAAGAGACAACTGAGGGGGGAGTGTGATAGAGGTTTATAGAAATATGGATGGGGTGGAGAGGGTTGACAAAGATAAGTTTTTTCTCCCTCTCGCAAAACGCTAGCACTCAAGGGCATCCAAGGAAGCCACGGCGGCTGAGGGAAACCTCCACATTCAGAGGCACCAAGCCTCTGAATCCCAGAGCCAGGGGGCAACATTGGGGGAAGGCCCCGTCCTCTATACCCTGTTTTTGGCCGTGGAACTCGTTGGCTACCGTGTGAGACAGGAGGCTGGACTAAACTATTGGTCTGATCCAGCAGGGCTCTTCTCACGTTCTCATGAAGGCCTCGGCCTCTATGCTCTGTTGTTAGCAATCCAGAGGAACTGGTTGGCCACTGTGTGAGGATGCTGGACTAGATGGACTATTGGTCTGATCCAGCAGGGCTATTCTTGTGTTCTCACAAAGGCCTCAGCCTCTATGTCCTGGTGTTCACTGTCCAGAGGAACTGGTAGGCCACTGTGTGAGACAGGATGCTGGACTAGTTGGTCTGATCCAGCAGGGCTATTCTTAGGTTCATAAGAAGGCCTCTTCCTCTACTCCCTGTTGTTGGCTGTCCAGAGGAACAGATTAGCCACTGTGTGAGACAGGATGCTGGACTAGATGGACTATTGGTCTGATCCAGCAGGGCTCTTATGTTCTTTAGAAGGCCTCGGCCTTTATGCCCTGTTGTTGGCTGTCCAGAGGAACATACAACCAATGCAACAAAGGGCACAGCAATCTGAATATACCAAACTGTAGAGAATTGCTGCAAACAGTTCATTGAGGAACTAGCGGTTGACACAGGAGCTATTTATAGCCATTCTGAAATTGAGATTCCTAATATTGGATTGCTTGAGAGAAAAAATTACAGCAAAACAGAATTTTGACAAAGATCTCGGAACGAACTCTGGAAACTCGAGATGTTCGTCATCTGACCTGTGGAATAAAGAAGGAATTTGGGACTAAAACATCTTGAAAATGTCCACATATCATTGTCGTTATTCTGTAAATTCTGATCCAGCAGGGCTATTCTTAGGTTCTTAAGAAGGCCTCATCCTCTACTCCCTGTTGTTGGCTGTCCAGAGGAACAGATTGGGCACTGTGTGAGACAGGATGCTCGACTAGATAGACCACTGGTCTGATCCAGCAGGGCTCTTCTTATGTTCTCATGAAGGCGGTGGCCTCTATGTCCTGTTGTTTCTGTCCAGAGGAATTGGTTGGCCACTGTGTGAGACAGGATGCTTGACTAGATGGGACCATTGGTCTGATCCAGCAGGGCTTTTCTTACGTTCTTATGCCCTGTTCTACTTTTTATTCCAGCCACTCAAAAGGTAAAAGATAGGGCTCTTCTTATGTTCTTATGCCCTGTTCTACTTTTTATTCTAGCCACACAAAAGGTAACAAGGAGATGCATCATCAAGCCAAGCTGTTCACCTGATCTTCCACATAGCCGTTATTGTAGAGGGTCGGGCAACCTTGCTCTTAGTGGAACTCAATACAAGAACAATGCAGAATTGGCACCCCCAGTTCCAAACAAGAGCTACAAATGCCTGCGTTTTGGTGATTTTTTAACATAAACATTTCTGGTGCTTTCTAGATTGCGTCACAGCGAATAAGCTCAGTGGATCTCTCGTGCTGCAGCCTGGAGGATCTGCCGGCCAACCTGTTCTATAGCCAGGACCTCACTCATCTCAATTTGAAGCAGAACTTCCTGAGGTCGAGCCCTAGTTCATCAAAAATCAAAGGACTTAATGAACTGCAAAGGTAGGCCAGACCCGTGATTGCTTTGTTGTGTTGTGATTGCTTTGTTGTGTTGTAAGTTCCTTTTGCTTATATTTGAAAGATTCCAGCTGTTTTCCTTTCTCTCTTTCACCAAGGCCCAAAGAGGGGGGGGGGGTTGCCCGCTAGACACTTTACTACCACGATGTGTCATGGGGAAAGGTGCATCGATGCAACCACATTTGACAATGGCTGCAATCTGCTGTGAGCAGAGTGCCCTCCCAGACACTGGGTAGAGGTTAGGAAGAACAAAATCCTCCAGTCTGCATTTGGTTTTCTCACTCTTGCAAATAAGTAAATAACTAAAGGCATAGGTTTGCTAGCCCACTAAATTTTTTTGCTGGCCTGCACATAACTTTTTGGCACATCACGAAACAAAAGAGCCACTTCTCCTCCAGTTTGCAAGGTTTGTTTTCCCTGCTTGGTTTCCTGGAGGTAGATTTTTAACTTGCCATGGGCAAGCAGACTAGT